AAAAAAAAAAAAAAAAAAAGATTTATGTTAAGCAACAGTGGTGCTGTTGGACTATATTTCACACACCTGCCTTTTATGGGAGTCCTTTAATTTACTGGCCTGGGAGTTTTTACATATTATGGATTATGTTGTTTCTTTTCTTTTCTTTCTTTTTTTTGAGACAGAGTCTCACTTTGTTGCCTTTGGTAGAGTGCTGTGGTGTCACAGCTCATAGCAACCTCCAACTCTTGGGCTCAAGCAATTTTCTTGCCTCAGCCTCTCAAGTAGCTGCCTCAGCCTCTCAAGTAGCTGGGACTACAGGTGCCCGCCACAACACCTGGCTATTTTTTTTATTTTTTTATTTTTTGCAGTTTTTGACCACCTTCTGTATATGGGGCCAGTGCCCTACTCCTTTGAGCCATAGGTACTGCCCAAACATACTTTTTTTTTTTTTGGCAGTTTTGGCTGCGGCTGAGCTGGAACCCACCACCCCTGGTATATGGGGCCAGCACCCTACTCCTTGAGCCACAGGTGCTGCCCACACGGCTATTTTTAGACAAGGCCTCACTCTGGCTAAGGCTGGTCTTCAACCTGTGAGCTCAGGCAATCCACCTGCCTTGGCCTCCCACAGTGCTAGGATTACAGGTGTGAGCCACCATGTCCAGCCATTATTTTTTTGTTTTAATCTAGAATATAATTTTATCCAATTAAGTCCAATGACCATGACTATTAAGATGGTTGTTTTTTGTCTTGCCTTATAGTTGTGGTCCTATGTTACTAGAATTTTCTAATAAAGTCAATGACACTTGGCATTTTCTAAATAAATCATGCCATGAACATATATTTTTAAATACTCTCAAGCCTTTAGCTCTCCAGGAGGCCCAAATAACAGGAGAGCTTTTACTATTGCAAAATGGGAACTGCAGGACAAAGACCAGAGCTCCGACTGTCCAGAGTTTCCCAGTGGCCTCAGGAAGCAGTGGCAATTCTGTAGCCACCCTCTAAATGGAGATCAAGATATCTGAAAAGGGGGGAGGGGAAGGGAAAAGAGGTTGTGCAGATGATAGCAGCACATGGGCACTGGCAGGCTGGAGGGCTGCAGTCTGAGCAGGGGCAGGAGGCTGAGCCTGGGGAGGCTGGCTGGGGAAGTATGGGCTCCCAGCCTGACATGGTCCCGTTGAATGCTGCCTATGCCAGAGCTTAAATCCTGCTTCTCCTCCCTCCTCCCCCAGGTGTGGGGTGAAGGGTCAAGATCTGTAGTCAGACCTGTTCTTCCTCCTGGGAACCTATCTGGTGTGCAGGGCCCCCAGCCCCCCATACCTTTCTCCTGGCAGAGCCCTGGGCAGCCCTGGATGCTCCCTCCAGGGGACTGCACCCTGAGGGCAGTCCCACACACAGCACAGGCCTGGTGAAGAGGTCTTCACTGAGTGTTTATTGGACAAGGAACACGGAAAGGACAGTCACTGGAGCTCTCTCTAATATGGAAAGCAGCCCCTCTGGGAGGAAAGAATATTCTTGGTCCACAGAAATTGAGCTGGTTAAAAACCACGTGTAAGGCACAAGGCTGGTAAGTCTTCACGTCAGAGGACACAGGCGAGCTTGTTGTGTGGTGGAACTCTTTATCCCCTTCATTAGATTTCTGGCTCAGCACGGGGTTAGGCTGGAAAGTGGGGGCCCCTGGTCGACCTCCCACAATTTCCTCCAGGGCAAGGTTTTCACCATGGCCTGGGCTGTCTGTTCCTCCCCTTCTCCACCAACCAGTCACTGCCGCCAACGTGGCTCACACGAGAGGGATGGGGTAGGACGCGCAGGCGGCCAGACCACACATGTTCTTCCCACGCTCGATGAGGAAGTACCTAGGCAAAGAGGGAAGCTGAGGCCTGTGGTGCCTCCTCACCGCACAGCTTTCTGGAATGTCTTGCTGCTCACCCAGATCTGGCTCCAGGGATTAGGTCCTCTGAACTTATTCATAAAACAGTAGCACTGGGGTTATTTAATCACCAGGAAGTTAATGACCTGACTTGTGAATAATTTACTCGTTCATATTCTATTTCCACTTCTGAGGGCCCCCACCTTAGCCTGGCTAGCCCTCACATAGCTATTTAGCCATTATTTTCACAATCCTTTGTTATCCCCTGAGGTAACAATGAAAGCTCTTTTTGGATGACGACATGGACAAAGTCACAGTAACATACAAACTCAAGCCTCCTGATTCCAGCCTTTCTGTCTTCGAAGATCAGCCATCATTGATCAGGAATAATTTGTTGCCTTCTCAAAGATGGACTGTCCCTGACCCTGATGTAGTCCCAGCAGGGTCTGAACTCTGAGCTGCTTTCCTAACAGTGAAGGGTGCACATCCTTCTAGCCAACTAGACTCCTGCCCCCCACCCCAAATCATTAAGGCCTGGGGCCCTGGGGGGAGCTGTTGAGGGGGTTCATGGGGATGTGATCACATCCTCACACTCCCTTTTCCCTGGCCTGGGCTAGGGCTTTACTGAACAGCTCCTCCTTGGAAGCCAAGACCCTGAGGAGGAAGAGGCGCTCCCCCACAGCCTCCAGACCCGAGCAGCACCCACCCCCAGCAATGGGATCAGGAAGCTGCTTACCCATCCATTCCCCACTGGGAGCCCCAGGAGTTTTTCACGATCCAGTAAGGTACCCCATTTTCTTCTCCATACCCAACAGCCAGCACTGCGTGGTTCACTTTATCTGGAGTTTTATGACAGGAAGTACTGGAAAGCAAGTAGGAAAAGGTTGAAAGTCCGCAAAGGGCAAAAGTGCTGACTCCACACTCAGCAAGGGCTGTCCCAGTGCTGAAGGGCAACGTTTCCCACAGGCTGTTCTGGGGGCATGTAAGGTGCTGAATTAGCCCACTTAGTCACAGTGTGAGACAATGACTCTCTTCAGGTCTTTTGGTTCTTCTCCCACCAGGATTGAATCTACCGGGTGCTGACCCATCTCCAACACCAGGCGTTTTCCAATCCCTCCTTCCTAGCAAGGGCAGAGCTGCCTTCCTGCCACACCTTCTGTAGGCAGCAGTGTCCAGCTAGAATGTAACAGTGTTGTTTGGTTGCCTGTGCATTTATTTTAAAGATTACCATATATTTATGGGAAGAATGTAAGTTTCTCCATTTATGATAGTAGACTAGCTTTCACTAGGAAATTTCAAGAAACTTAAGAGGACAAACTATAGTAGTTTGAATTCAGCGGAGGTGCAACTGAGTCGTGGCCATGCACCAGGGCCTCAGGCACAGCTCTGCCCTGTCCCTTGGAAGCTGTGTTTGGAAGGGAGAAGGTTGGGAAAGAGTGGCCTGAGGACTGTGACAGTGGGGTGGGCAATGGGAGGCCTGAGAAGGGCTATCCAAGCCAGTGAGTTGCTGGATAACCTGGGGCCAAAGAAGGGTGCAGGGGCTGTGGGCACCCATGAAACCACAAACCCTCCCATGTGGTGGTGGTTGGGGCTGCAGGGTGGAACAGGTAGGGAGGGGTCTGTTGGCAGGTAAGCACGGAGAAAGGGAGGGCCAGATCATGGCTGCCCTGTAAGGTAAGATACTGGGCAAAGGAGGGACAGTGGCATATTTAATGGCTGGTATACCAAGAATGTCTGAGAAGGTCATGTTAGCTCCCAGTGAGGGTGCAGCAGTGTGTGGGGGAGGGGCTCAAGGACAAACTCAGAAGGAGCCACCTGAACAGGACAGCTGCAGGACAGTGGGACAGAGACATCGGGCAGCAGTTAGAGGAAGCCCAGGTGTGAGTGCCAGTGACATCTGATGGAGGGAGGGAGGCTCTAGGATTCCACTGTGCAGCAGGAGGGACAGGGACCTGGGAGAAGGCGGGCCTGTAGGATTTGAGGCTTCCAGCGACTGTCCAGGACAACGTGGCTGGGATAACCTCGGGTCTATGCATGGGCCCTACACTTCACACAGCCCAGGATGCCCTTGGGCATTCTGAGTACACACTTGGCTGTGGTGCTACAGGGGATGCCAGAGCACTGGGAGGAGGGTGGACAACAGGGCCCTGAAGAGCAGTGACATTTCAATGTCCAGAAAACAAACCACAGGGGAGAGCTAGGAGCACTTGGAAGAGTCCAGCAGGATGCTCAGCTGAGCAAGGTGGGCAGGGAGAGGAGGACGGGTGGGACGGAGCCAGGCTACAGGTGCCGAGCCTGGTTCTTCTGCAGAAGCCTGTGGGGCATCCTCCAGCACAAGACTGGTTTGAGAGTAGCAGCTCTCTCCTCCCTGTCTACATCTCCAAACTTCTGAGTGTGGGGGTCTCCTTGCCTGGGGAGTGGCTCTTCTGATGAGGAGAGAACCCCCACTTTTCAGCCCCAGCCCTGACTCGTCTCCCTGTGCCTCTCTCTCCTCTTCTGTGAGGCATGGGGAGTAACTGAGGACTGCGTAAGATGCCTGCGCATGGCAGGTGTCACACGTGGTCCGACAGTAGCCGAGGCTGCACTGAGCCCCCACTGCCGCTCCTTCCCAACTCACCTGGAGTAGATGCCCCTTTTGTACATCAGGAAGTCGTCAGTCACCTCAAAGGCAAAGCTCACGGGGTTGTACAGGGCCACGGCTTCCACCATCGCCTCCTCGTCATACTGTAGACAGAGACGGAGGGGTAGACACACAGGGCCTCTGTCACCTCCCACTTCAGGTAGAGGCTAGAGGCCCAGAGGAACACAGATGACCAAGAGGTGGCAAGGGACCAAAAGCCAGCTACCAGGGGGAACCTGGGCGTTGAGATGGAGCCCCCACCCTTGTGCCTGCATGGAAGGTCCTCGGGGTATTTGGCAAGCAGATCATTCCTCTCATACAAACTGGCTCCCCTTGTGGTGTGTCTCCCTTCCCCTCACTGGCTGGTCTGTCCAGTCATTTCTTGCCCTGTCCCTTGCTTGCTCTGCTCCTGGGAACCTCACACCCTCTGGTACAGCAACCACCGGCTGTGGTGTGGATGTCCCCAGTCAACCCAGGACACCCTGCACCCACAAAGCCCATCTAGAGCTTTGTAGACAGAGCACAGAGGCTGCAAGTCTATGGACAGAGAAGCCCAGAGGTAGGTGGGAACAAGGAGGACCCAGCACAGGGGCCGTGTGCTTTCTGAGCAGGAGCTTGTCCTTTTCAGGGGGTTAGGGAGGCAGGGGTAAGTCAAGGCAGCTTTGGAATGCAGCCATAGAGCCCAGGTGAGGGCAGCGGCCAGAAGCACCTGGGGAGCCCTAGAAAATCCCCAAGCATGGCTATACCCAGACCCACTGGCCAGCACCTGGGAACTGCTGGGCCAGAGTCGCTGATGAAGAGACCTCTATGAACAGAAATGACCTAGAGGCTATGTGTGCTGTGGCCGGGCCCCTGCTGAAGGGGACCCCTGGCCTCCCCAGAGGGGTGGGCAGAGACCCAGCTTCAGAAAGCAACAGCTGGCAAGCAGGTGCCTTCTTTGCCGGTTCTCGGGAGAGGCCTTATGAGCCTGATAGGCCAGGACAGACCTGGGACGGGGAAGGCACAGCATCTTGCCCACCACAAGATGAGTACTCCCTTGGGGCGGCACATCTCAAAGACCAAGTGTCCCCTGCCAGGAGGACTAAATGTCAGTTCTGGCTGCTCTTCAGAGCCCTGCAGGTGTCCCCAACAAGGCTCTCCCGGGGACCAGGCGAAAGGGATATCTGAGCTCCTAACTGGCGGCTCAGGGGGAAACAAAGGCCAGGGCAGCCAGGCTGAACAGCAGCTGAGAAAGCGGTTGTCTCCCAGAGATGGTGACAACCCTCTGACAGGGTGGGCTGTGTGCTGTGGAGCTTTTGAAACATGGTCCCACTCAAATGCAGCCTCCACCATGCAGCTCTGTGGCCCTGGACACTTTACTTAACCACTCCGAGCCTCTGTTTCCTCATCTATAAATGCAATAATGACACTCATCTTCTATGTTTATTTTGAGTCTAAGGGAGGTAATGCATGGTAGGTGGACAGTATAGAACCTGTAAGTATCCCATAAACTTGAACTGCTACTACTGCTGAGAAGTTGGCATGTGCTTCAACTGAATGGCAGCTACTGCCACTACTCAGACATCGAATTTGTGACTTGCACATGTATCTGTGGGCACACACACCTACACGCCCTGGGGGATGCTCTCCTGCTCTCTACACACACCCTCCCAGACTGCACACTTGCACACTTAGGAGTCCCGAGTGCTATGCACTTATAACTGCTTAGGGTGACTGTGCAACTGGTTCCAGCTTTAGAGCCAGTATGTAATTTTCTTCTCTCTTTCCCCGGTCCAGATCTTGGAGTGAGGCCAATTGCACAACACACACCACCTGCCTCAGCCATGGAGTGCATGCAGGAGAGTATAGACCCTTTGATGCTACCAGCCATTCGGATCTGGGCTTGGTTGTTACTGCAGCAGGGTCTGACTTATCCCAACTGACACATACTGACACGTATTCCCCTCTCCTCCCCAGTCTCTCTCTCTCACACACACACACCATGTCACGTGTGTGCTCACACCCTCTTCTGCAGGATAGGGATATGGCTTGTGTTTTACAGACAAGAAAACAGAACCACATGATGATATGGGCACCTTGGCTGGGGCAGGCTGGGTTGAGAAGATAGCAGGGAGGCTCTGGCAGGTTCAGCAGGCCTCCAGCACCCCAGGGCACCTGCCTGCCAGTCCATGCTCTCCCTCCCATCTTCCACCATGCTATCTGTGGTGACAGATATTTAGGGAAAATCCAAACTGTTCAAAGGGATATGCTGCTGGGCCCAGCGACCATCTGACAGCTGTAGAGACTGGCATCTTTTTTTTTTTTTTT